AATGATTTCATAATGATTTGCCTGTAAATTATGGTTTTACATGGATATTGTTTTCAAAACACTTAAGTGCAATAGTGAGTGGGCGTTGATAAGGTTTCTATCATAACAGTTCATAACATAACAGTAGCTGTTTACTGACAAGCCTTGAAGGAGCCACCATTAAAACCGGATCACACATCTGTGATGTTAAAAAGGCCTTTTTTAGCAGGCGTTTTAGGCCTAAATGGGTTAAAAATGGATCATTTCAGACAGAGGGCCAGAATGAGGGTGGTGAAAATAATCATTTTTTTCATGTATTTTTTTGTGTACGTGTGCAAAACACTTTATCAACATTAAGTGAACCTCAGGGAACATTAAAATGTGACCCCTTTAATGTAATATCCTGTCTACTCAGATGCCTTCATTATAATTTTTTCTTTCAGTTTTAGATGTATATCCTTCATGCACTGCATACAATGGCTAACTTGATTTCACCAAGTAAATGTTCCTGGATCAACATCTTTAATCCTGGAACAACATTTCAAACCCGAAACAGTAGCTAGCTACCTTTATACAGGTAACGTTAGGCCTAACGTTAGGCGTATACACAAAAGCAACAGATTAGCATTCACAAAATTGACTTGGACTTACAGCTTACCTGTAACTGTAATATAGCCTAAAAGGTGTAATATGATTCCAACGAAGGACCAAAATGATTCCACAAAAGCTACACTAAAGTTAAATGTTTGAGACATGATCTAGATGTTTTCTACAGGCATTCGATTCGATTTTTATTTAAGTCATTGTTATTAGTAAACCTACTCCCGTCTCACGCTACATGTGGCCGTGGGACGAGTTTTCCCACACGGACACAGGTAAGATTATTTATTTATTTTAGTAGTTGTTGTTTTTACCCTGTTGACTGACTGAATCAGCTTTCCTCTGTTTCGGACACAGCCTGTTACTCTTTCATAGGAGTGGTGTGTGTCTAACATACTAACGTTCCTTTGGCGACACCTCTAGGTGGCAGGTGGAAATGTGATGTTGAGATTTTGCAGTAGCTAAGTAGGCTACTCTGACCGGAATGTTTGCATTTCTTAATTTCTAATAATAATACAAAATAATAATATAATAATAATATATACTTAGCCCAAGTAATGGGATGAAAATCACCATACAATGGGACAGATGCATAGGCCCGTTTACACCAAGAACACTCACTTTAAAATAACTATAACGAACTATATTAGCGCCCACAACAATGCACGATAATGTTATGATTAATATAAGTACGTTCTGTTTATTATAAACATGAGCTGCAGTTATTGCCTGCCGCTTTAAATGCTCGAGCTGCAGTCTGATTGGCTGTTCAATGTTTTTATCTTTCATCAGGCGAAAAAAAAAAATCAAAAGTCATTCCAACGATATTTTATTGTACACCAAGATTATTATACAGCTTATAATTGATCATGTCGAATACTGACTTCTCTCCCATTCCCCCACCACACACACACAAACAGGAAAAGAGCAACCAGGTTGCTTTCATATGAACAAAAATCTTAAAAAGCAACTCTAACTGTAACCCTAACCTGAACCTTGGAGGAACTAATCTTATTAAGGCTAAACATCCAGTCAACCTTTCAAAATCTGCTTGCCTAATCCATTGGGAGCGGTTTTAGACGTGTTAATTAGAACTTAATGTGACCTTTGATAACCTGTTGTCTGCTGCCCATATTTCAGTAAACATTAAAGCCTATCTAGATCTATCTAAACTGAATGTCAGTTTCATAGACACATAGGCTACATTGACTTAAAGATAAGTGCCTTTTTGTTTTCCACAAAGGAAAAAAAGTCATGTTTGGAATGGCATGGAGGTGAGTTTTATATATAATGACAGAATTTTCATTTTAAGATAATAACTTTCAGACGTAAGACTCTCTCTCATAAACAGTTTTAAAGCCATCATTAAAAATGTGTCTGTTTGACTTAGATTTGAGCAGCAAGCTTTAAAATACAAGGATGCATATGAAAATGCACCAAAAAGCATGTAAGAGGATTTGGGTGAAGGACAAGAAGGACAAGTTTACTGTTGCTGAAAGATTGATAAACACTGTTGTGTTTTCGCGTATTGATTACTGTAATGCCTTGTTAGCTGGCGTGTCAAAAGTTACCTTAAACAGAATGCAGGTTTTGCCAAAATACTCCCGTTTTGGAGTCTTTGCACTGGCTTCCCAATAGGTTTAGGGTGGACTTCAAAATTTTGATGCTTACTTACAAGGCACTGCATGCTTTGGCACCTCAATATTTGACCGAGCTTTTAACTCCATAGGCCTATAGCCTACTACAAAACGTGATCTTCGTTCTTCGGAAACTGGTCTTTTAACTGTTCCCTCAACTCGTTTGAGATTAATGGGAGGTAGGGCTTTTTCTTCATTAGCTCCAAAACTTTGAAATTCTCTACCGATTGAGATCAGGCAAGCCAAATATTTTGGTATTTTTAAATCTCAGCTTAAAACTATTTTTTTTAGGTTAGCTTTTAATTGATTTATTGTCTTTTATGTTTATTTTACTCTGTAATATGTCTCTTTGTGTGTTGTATCTTTGCTGTTTTAATTGTTTTTTACAGCGCTTTGAGATGTACATTTAAAGGCGCAATAGAAAATAAAGGTTATTATTATTATAAGAAACATGGTCACAGCAGAGCAGCAGGAATCGGAAAGGGAAAAAAGCCTTTTTTCATTTCTCATCCCCTTCTGTGAAAGATGTTCATTTCTGCCAGCATCCTGCTATGCACTAATCTGTGGCCCTCAGCATTTGCCCCATTGTTTTGATGATTATGTGTGCATGTTTTTGATAGTTTCTTGTTTTATACATGGGTCATAAAAAAGTGAGTATGTCTATCTGATTTTGCTGCTAAGAGAAAATTTAATAATTGAATATGAATCATGAATATAAAATCAAATATAGATGAGTAAATATTGACCTGTGTTTGGAGCTGTGGCCTCTTAATCCAGGCTTATATATTCTGAATAGAATGTAGAATTCTTATAGAATTCTGTAATGTTTAGATGTTGCTTTAAAGTTTAATGCATACATTTAGTCTGTGAATTCTATAATGACACTATGGTAGTTACTGGAATAATTATTTCTATAAATCCCCATAGGACAAGCATTTATTTGTGGTTTTAGGTGGTGGTGGCTGCAATCAAATGCATGTATTGTGTGTAGCTGTAGCTTCATGCTTTATCATTAAGCCTATGACCATGACCCTGTCTAAGAGCCAGAAGTGACAGATGGATGAACAGAATGACAAAGATTGGACTGCAGTAGAGGGACAGTGAGGGTCAGTCCAGCCTCCTCTTCACATACACTTGTACCTCCTAATATCGAACACCATGACGTCTTTTCATTTGCTCAGCTGAGTCTATGATTATCTGAGACTCTGTCTCCTAGAGTAAAACATAAGTGCCACTGCGACATCATGTCACCATGTAAGATGATTATTTAATTAACTGTGTAAGCGCTCTTAGGGCCATTTTAACACTTCTTAACTAGCCTTACAGTGTAATGTTAGTGTGAATTTACACTATAATTTAGTACAGTATTAATGTACTGTTAAATGTTGTAAAAATACTACAGTAGAGCTTGTTTGACACTTGTTAATCAAAATTATATGTGCATTACTGCCTTGCATAATCGTATGTCTCTGTTTTCTATCAAGCTCTTTAAATCACGCTCACTGCACTCTTTTAGTCCAAGGCCTGTAATTGAACAGCTGTAGAGTTTCTCAGTGGTAACCTTTAATTTGGCACAAGCAACATGCCAGTGGCTAAAATCTCATGATCACCTAAAAGCTGCAATTTGGATCCTAGGCAGCTGCAAGCAGTTAGCTTCACTGCAGTGCTGGATATACTCTGCAGATATAGAGATGTTAACCACATGGCTCTGACAGGCCAACAGATCCTAATTGCTCCCTTACACCCCTTCATTAAAAGGCTTAATGGGGAAAACACAGTAGCTTCAGATGTGGATGTTGTCTCTTTTGTAAAAGATGCTGCAAACAAAGAAGAAACGTAAGAGAAGCACTGATAGAATATAAGATAATTCACTTTTGAGTCTACAAATGGGATAGTTTCTGTTTGAATGTTCCTTTTTGTAATTTCGACCAAGATTGCTAATTTCAGATTCATTGTTTTTCCAGGAACAAACTGAAATGGTAATGATAGCATTCATTATGGTGAAATACATAAAACAGCCATTTAGAGGGATTAGTATAATTTTATTACTTAATTTTAAGACGCAATCAGTTTCCATATAACATTTGTACAGTTTTAAATCCTATAATAAACTGGAACAACAGAGTGACTTTACTGCGTTGGATTTTATCAGACTCTTTTGCATGCATTTCACATGTAACCTGTGTGAGGTTAAACAAAATGATTAATTAAGAAGAGAGCTCTGATTGGACCTGCAGGTTTCCGTGCAATTCTCTGACTCAAACCATTTGCTTTTTCCAGGCGTCCACTGGTAATTAATCATTATTCATAGCAGAACATTGAAAAACCTCACATATAACATTGTAGCATGGTATTTTGGACATGCTACCGTGATAACGCCATGTTGTTTGACACTATCATGATAGTTATACCATGTTACTCTTTAAAGTACCTTGGAGAAGTTGAAAAGTAAACGCCAAACATAGACTGTTAGAATGTAGGCATACAATGCTAAAAGCCATTCAAATACTGTAGAATTATCACAATTTATCAACAGCCATATACGACACGGTAAAGTCAAATGCAAAATAGGTATATATATATATATATATATCAAGGTAGAACTTTAAGTTCAATGTGACTTAATTATACATTTCACAATAGATTCCAACTGGCATGTTGTAGCTATAGTTATTTCTAAATGTGTAGGTGCTATTTTTCATAACAAATGCTATAGATCAATAAAAAGAGAAACAAGTCAACACTGGCCTTACGAGGAGCCATCAATGGTCTCACCTATAAGTATAGCCTTGTTGTACCAAATGCTACAGTTAAACAATTACAAGAACTATGGTAGATTTTCATAAGGGCAGGTAAAAGTTAGAATCAAGACTTAATTATACAGTAAACGAATAAATAACAGTATGCGGACTGATCTCTACAAAAATATCACAATTTCTACGTCTCATGATAGAAATATCAAATTCACAATGACAAATGATCTGTGTTATCACTGAGAAAACATCAGAGTTGGCTGTTATTTCTTTCTATTTTCTTTCTCTTCTCCACAGTCACAGTCTCTCTCACATCTCATTGACAAATATGAGAGGGCCTCTGGATGTGGGACTCCCCGCCTGTCCGTACAGCATCGGCAGTCCTAGATTAGTTTGGGGTAGACTGAAGCCTCCGCTTGATAAGTCAAAACTCGCCTGGTTGTAGAGCCTCTGGCCAAAACCAGCTCCAGATTGATCAAAACTGGTTTGACTGTACTGCCTGAAGCTGCCGCGTTTCTCAGAGGGAGTTCTGGAGAGATGGCGCTGGGTGGACTTATGCAAACCTGTCTCTTTGTAGGCAAACCAAATATTACCAGACCAAAGGAAGAAGTTCAAAAAACCAAAGGCCTGCAAGCAGACAAGGATGAATTAGAAATATGGAATTTAACATTGTCTACTTGTAAATTGGTCATTTTTATAGGAAAAGAACGTTTGTCAAGTCCTTTACCAAGATCTGAAGGTTTAAAACGTTTTTAAAAACCTTAAAAAGTCAGAGCTATATAGGCCTGACAGACAGCAGTTACTAGGTTGTTGCTAGGGTGTTGTGTGATTGCTAAGGAACTTTGGCTGGTTTCTAGGCTAGTTGTTAGGCGGTTGTGGCATTCTAGTTGGTTACTAAGACATTCAACAGGATGAAGGACTGTGCCAAATGTTGTGAAGCCAGCATAATTATAAAACAAAATGCCTGTCAACAATGCACCTTTTAATATAGGTACATTTTTACTTCACATGTAAAGGGTGTAAAGTAAAAATGTACACTACCGTTCAAAAGTTTGGGGTCGGTAAGATTTTTAAATGTTTTAAGTTTTTACTATTATCAATGTTGAAAATGCTGGTGATGCTTAGTATTTTTTTTGTGCAAACATGGATCGTTCTTTTTCAGTATTCTTTAATTAATAGAAAGTTAAAAACAACAGCATTTATTTGAAATAGTTATCTTTTGTAACATCATAAATATCTTTACTGTCACTTTTGATCAATTTAATGCATCTTTGCTGAATAAATATATTAATATCTTACTGACTCCAAACTTTAGAATGGTAGTGTATATCAATTGCTAAAGAAGTTCCTTTATATTCTCTTTCCAATATCGATACTAAATAAGAAATCTACTCACCACAGACATGTTGAGATTTGTCCAGATGGGCTCCTGCAAGACCTCACATAAGTTCTCCTGGGCTCTGCATGCAGACATTAACAGCAGGATTTGATGCACATCAGTGGCTGCCTTCACCCCAGACAGAGTTTTAGCCCAGGCAATTGAGCTTACCAGCCACAGGCTAGAGAACACTAGAGTCACCAAGAAGTCCTATGAAGATTGCAAATAAGAAGAGAAAACAGAACGAGGGTCTTGGTGATTCGGTTAAAGGAGTAGTTCACCCAAAAATGAAAATTTCTTCCTTCTTTCAGCCGAAAACGATCGGTTTTATATTAAAAATATCCTGGCTCTTCCCAGCTTTGTAATTTAATATTTTTTTGAAGTTCAAAAAAGCGCATCCATCATCATAAAAGTAATCCATACGACTTCAGTGGGTTATAGTGAAACCAGTGATTATAGTTTATAAAGTTTTGAATATAGATATTATTCTAACAAAAACCCATCGCTTCGCTTCAGAAGGCATTTATTAACCCACTGGAGTCTTATGGATTACTTTAATGATGGATGAATGCGCTTTTTGGAGCATCAAAAACTCGGGCACTATTCAATGCCATTACAAATCTGTTATTTAATGTAACTCCGATTGTGTTCGGCTGAACAAAGAAAATCATAGACACCTAGGATGGCTAGAGGGTGAACTATTCCTTTAAGTTATATTTAGTTTTTCAGTCTTCTTCTTACAGCACTAAGTGAAATGCACTCACAACTACTGGACCTCTGTTCTTCTCTCTGTATTTGTTCTGGTAGAAGAAATAAACAATTGTGGCCAAAAGGGAATAGAGGAAAGCCAGGACTGACACAGTGACGAAGAACTGTACAGATGAAGCATAATCCCCTTCGAGAAAGAGAGTCTCTTTCTTGGTTCCTTCACACAGAGGAGCATTGAAGTGTGCCTGTTGAAGTCTGGGGAGAGAAAACATTATTCAGAAAACTAATTCAGTGCTTTCACAAGTTTCAAGCACAAATATAGCTTTTTTTGTATCATTTATAAGTCAAGACTGTGCCAATGGGGTGCCACTAATGTGTCAAATATCTTCTAAAAATAGTGACTCACGTCATAGTTTACTTTAGATTTGACAGTGGATAGTGTAAGGACTTAATTCTACATGTCTTGACCCTTACAGATGCACTCAGTAATTCTCTGTTGTCAATACGACCTTGCGCTTAAACTGACAACTACTGGTGTGGATGCAATATCACGCAAAGGCTATTTCAATTACTGACAAAATAATAAGTTTGCTAGTTAGCAATGACTAATTTACTCATCAAGCGCAAGTGGCCAAATACTCAGGGTTACTGAGATAAAGCGAATAGCATTTGGCTGGTCATATATGAATTCAAAATCCCAGGAGTGGGGTAGGTTTTGACAACAGAACTCTTGGTATTTGACATTAACTCACATAATCTGTGATTGTGTAGTAAACGTCCAAGTGAGTTTTATTTAGACAGATGTGGCTACCATGTATCAAAGCTTGAGAGATCTAGCACAAACAACCAGTGAGTTACACACTGCACATACGATACCATTACAATAATAATGAACGTAAACAACTTAAGAGCTCTTACTCATACCACCTGACTGCTGCAGATTCATTTCAGCATTGATAGTGTTAACATAGAAATGCATAAATCCGTGTCTGAGGACGTGAACAGCTCCATAATTACGGTTACGATATGGCGGGAACGCGGCATAAGCTCATTGTTTTGCTTCAGGAGGAACTGTAAAAAGGCAGCTGCTGTTTGTTTGCACCGCTCAGTGACTAGTCACGTTTCCATTACCCTTTGAAATTGAAACACGTCAATTTCGCAAAGACTCCTATATATCGCAAAAATGTTGTAACGCTCGCACGAGGTGGTTTTTCAGGCAATTCGAAAAGGGAATATTTCGCAAACCTGCAATGGAAACAGTTTTTGCAGGTCACCTAACGTAGATGGCGCGGTATGTTTGGACAGAAGACGAGACAGAGTTCTTTATTAAACTCATAAAAGACAACAGAATTACAGGAATACTGGATTCTAAACAGCAAAGAAATGCCACAATTTATCAAACCCTTAAAGCATATTTGAGGGAGAAACACCCAGAAACACCTCATATGTGCCGCTCCCAAGAATAAGGGCTTTCCTTGCCATTAATGCTTGGATAACACGCCTACCTCTCATTCGATTAAAAATAATGAATAGTGCGTTGGCTGAGATACACGTAAACCGATCAACATCCACTGCCATGATTTTTGGAATGACTAATCGCGAGGGAAAAAAAAAGACGTTTTAGTCGCATAACATCGGATAATGGCAACGCCGTCATTTCACAATAGTTTTTTATCGACAGAAAATATCGCAAACATTTTTTGGTCCTGAAGGTATATGTAAATGTTTTTATATTTAGACCATTTCTATTATTGATTGCTATCAGGATGTGAAGAGAGTTTGAACCAGTATGGCGAGCAGGATGAGGTCAAGGGCCGTGGGAGGATGGCGCGAGACCGGTGCGTCGCGCAGGTGTACCTCATCATTAATCACGGCCAGCCTCGCGCCATCCTCCCACGGCCCTCGACCTTGTCCTGCTCGCCACACAGTACAACAAAAAGTATTTTAAAAAAAATTGCCTATACCTTTAATAAAACCAAATAATTAAAATCGAGATATCAAATTAAATCTTTTTAATACAACGGATAATACATAGGCCTAATTAAAGTGTAACATTTGAATACTTAAATTGCATTGTGGTAATTAAGAACACTTACCTGAATGGGTAGTTGAAACTGATGCTGATGTTGTTTTGGATTTTGTCCAAACATTCCACTTTAACCATTATCTGGCCAGAATATCCCCCACATGTTGCAAATGCTAAAACAGCACAAAGCTGTGGGGGGGAAAAGCTAAATATTAATGAAGTGCCCTGATGATACAGGAGGGGACAAAGATCAGCTCTCTTGACTCCCCATCTGTACAGAAGCTTTACTTCATCAGACAAAGTCGAGACAAATTAACCTCACAGAACATTAAAACATTCTGTTTTAATTATCCTCCAGTTTTCTGATTTAAGGTCAATTTAAATGACCTTTCATCCAACAGCTGCACAATTAATCATGCAAAATTAGACACAGATGCTTTTTTAAGTGCACTAACCCCTGCAGTTGCTGTAGACCTGGATGCCAGGCACCAACACATTTGTCTCACAATTGAATATTTTTCACAGGTTTTGTATTGTGTTTGGCATAATTAATGAAAAGGCTGGAGGTTTACTGCAAGTGCCAGGGCTTTATTCTCAGTGGACACAGGTGTTAGATAAGAAATGTATCCAAGTCTCCTGCTATTCTCTCTTTCCCCCAACCCCTTCCTCTCTCTCTCTGTTTCCGATACTACAGCAGATGAAAGGATGCGGCTCCTTTCAATTAAGATTTAATGCCTTTACTGTGTATATACAAATTAAATACTGTCTGGAATACTTGAGTGTTTGGGTCTGTGTGTGTCAACAGAAGACAGAGACACAGTAAGAGAAAGAGAATGGAGATTTTTTATAATGTATTATGTTGAAGCCATTTCAATGGAAGTAATAATAATATTTTTATTAAGAGTTTTATAAAAGTTTATTTAGTAAAACCTGAGAAAACCTGTGTTGCAAATGGAACGTAGAAATTTGAATGTTTAAACAGTTGACCAGTGATCTTGTAATGTGATTGGTTGTTAGATTTAGTATGAAAGAAATAGAATCCTGCGAAGCAGCCAGAAGCCACTGGACTTTGGAGCAACACAGTCTTTTGACCTACACGGAACTACAGTTAATTTGTAAGAAAAGTAAAGATCCTGAGTTTTGTTTTATTTTATGTTTTGAAATTCATAATTAAACAGTCAAACGAAGAACTTTGGATTCAAGACTTTTATTCGCTGACGTTTTGTGTTGAGTACAAAAGAACTTTGAAGTCCTAAGCTAGTGAGTCAGGTTGCTGCACTCACATATTATGTTATTTATTTCTCAATACTTAAGTGGCTTAAGCCAACCAAAAACTGTGTGAATATTTAAAAAGTATCACACATACAGACATACCATATAAAATAAAATAAAATGATATCTTTAGAACATGCATACACAGAACAAATGAAGCAAAGAATAAAAAAAAGGTAGCTTCTTTGATGAGTCTCAGATGAGACCCAGTGAATTATGCAAAGATTACCCAGGGGTTGCAGCACATTCAGACAAACACACACACACACACACACACTAATTACCTCACATTTACACACACACACACACACACACACACACACACACACACACACACACACACACACACACACACACACACACACACACACACATATATATATATGCATATACAGTGCAAATACAAATATGCAATTGCGCTGCTTTTATCACATCACAGATTCATCATTGTAAAGTCTGTCAAAGAGCTGATGGCATCGATCTTTTGCACATTTCAACAAGAGCAGATGAATTATTCAAGCAAGAGAGACTACAAACAGGGAGCCGATGCTGTGACCCCAAAGACCAGCTAATAATTAAACCTGATTTTTAATAGACGTATTTGCATGCTTTAAAGACTATTTTAAGAATGCAACCATGAGAAACTGCACAAAATATTATCAGAACTTTACTTTTATTAGACACTTTTCCTTGCTACTGTCAAATTATGGGCAAACCCAATTACATACTGACACATTTTATAGTCATATTATATTTCTATTCTGGTAATACTTTAAGAATTTATAAAACAAACAATTTTTTTTATATATAGCTAAGTGACGTTTGAGATAAGTGGTATAATTGTACCAGTGCGTCTTGTTCCTAATGCTTTAAAATGAACCAATACTTGAAGGTTTTAGAGAAATAGAGGTCTTACCGGAGCAAATATGACCATACACATTGATGAAACGGATTAAGCATCAGCCTGTTGTCTGTCTATGAATGAGTGTTGAGCTCCTCTGCCAGCCAAAACCCAGAGATACTGAGCGAGTGGACACCATGGAGATGCTTCTACAGGGAAACTGTGTGTGTCTGCTCTGTGTCAGAGAAAAGACACACATACATACACTCACACACACACACACACACACACACACACACACACACACACACACACACACACACACACACACACACACACACACACACACACGATGATATATGCAAACCCCTGGCAGATCACATGCAGACCTATTGCACGTGTATCCATGCACATATTCTGTACATACACTCACAGTCATTGAAAAATATTAAATTAAGCGCATAATAATAAGTACGTAATCCTGGCCACATTACAGCCATTACATCAGTGTTTTACATGCCGAACATAAATAATTATGAATATAAATAAATCTGCCACAATAATGGCCCCCTATTGTCTTTAATTATTGTAAATGATTACAGTGGAATCAAGCCTTTTGGTAAATTATTTATTCCCTACATAATTTTTGACAGCTTAATGACTAAATATCTGGGCTGTTAAAGTGAACGATTCAATAGGAGACTTATTAAAATAACACGGAATAAGCTATTTAATCCCAGTGGCAAGATTTGTGAGATTTGCAATATTAATTTAATTAAAGAAAATTTTGTTATTTTTAATTAATTATTATCGTATAATTAGTTATCATCTTATTTTTATTTCATTTTAGTATAAAATATTTGTATTCACTTCATTAACTTCTCAAGAAGCTATGTTAATCATTTTATCTTTGGGGTCTATATGACCCCAAATGACTTTTCTGTAGTAAATAAACATGGTTCCCTTCATCTCAGTTGCATAAACTTTTGTCACTTTTTCTACATTTTCTATCTATATACACTCACAAAAAACTGGGCTTGATTCAGTTGTTCTAAAGGTATGTAAATAAAAAAAAAGTCACACTCATGACCTTTGGGGTCAATATGACCACACATTGAAATGAATGGGAAAATCGAAGAAAAAAATAATTTAATTTGTCAAAAAAAATAAAAATAAATCCAGAATAAATATAATAAGTCCTGGTACTAGAGCACAAATGCAATGTGGAACGAACATTATCACTTGCACACACATACACAAACAGGTGTAACTCCAGAAAGCATGCATTTTTATAGAAATTGGCCAAATAAATAAATAATAAATTCAATAATTCCAGCATAAATCTGAAAATTCTCACACATAAATGAAGGCCTGGTACTAGATCACTAATACAATGTGGAATGAACATTATCACACACACGTGTGCCTAAACAGACACAAACACAAATACACACACAGATAGAGAGAGGTGTGACTGCAATAGAGAAATTTTATAGAAATTGGGAAATAAAATCAATAATTTCTGCATAAATCTAAACATGTTCACACACAAATGCCATATGGAAAGAACATGACACAGATCACATACACACAGAGAGACACATACAAACAAACAAACAAACAGGTGTGACTGAAAAAAAGATCTTTTTTTTTTTAGATTGGCAAATAAAATCAATAATTCCAGCATGAATCTAAAAATGTTCACACATAAATGAAGGCCTGGCACTAGAGCAAAAAAAAAAAAGTGGAACGAGCATGATTACACACACACACACACACACACACACACACACACACACACACACACACACACACACACACACACACACACACACACACACATGCACGCACACAAACACACACAGACACACAGGTGTTTCTTCACTCCTGTTCCTATCTGCCTCTATATGTTTGTTTTTTGTTTTTATTTACTTTTTTAAAATTAATTTCTTATTCTAAAGTTAATCATTTTATACATTTCGATTATTGAAATAATATGTAATTGCAATCAAGTGTTTTCTTTTAGTGGCAACTTATGTGGCATTATTGGAAATTTATTTGGCATTACTGCAAATTTATATAGCATTATTGCAATAACAAGATACTTCAAAAGACCTCAAACAACAACAAAAATAATTCTAAACTTTGACAAAGTACTGATTTAATGTATTTTAAAATGTTTATATATATATATCCATATCAAAAGCTGTTATAAGAGCAGTAAGTCACATTCAGAAAAATGAATGGATCTCTATGGGGCCTCTGCTGGAAGTATATGGTAATTACACTTTCTGGCTAAAACTATATTATCTACAAAAAAACATCTAACCAGCAGATGGCAGAATTATACATCTAACACCTATATCAATATCCAGAAACAACTCATATTTAAATTTGATCATCATTAATGGTAGCCTGGATGCCAGCCCGAACCCGGCCACAACATTTTTTGGTCGGGAAGTTCGGTCTGGACTCGATCCATTGAGGAGTAATTATGATGATCGGTTCAGAATTAGTCAGGCCAATCAAATTGCCAGGGCGGGCTTTATACGATGATGGACAGATGATCTGCAGTTACGCAATCATCACGTTATCAAAGAGCGATTGGGTTGAACCAGAGCCATAGAGAGAAAGAGTTGCGACACGCTTTGATGTCGCTGCGACGGCTGTCACGTGGTTCATGTAAGCCCCAATAGTTCCAAAACATACGCGGGCTGTCATGTTCTTCTATGGACAGACAGCAGCGATTGCATTATTAAACGGTAAATATAAAATAAAACACACACCCGAGTACTTTTTCAGCTGTTATTGCATTTTGTTAATGTCAGTTTTGCATTTGGAGAGGCAGGGTGACAACTTAGATAAGTTTTATGGCTATATTTTTGGAGGGAAACGCTAGTGTTCATGTTCTCATGGGTAGTAGCACTGGCTTTAGCGGCTCTAACTTAACTTTTCCATGTCATTCATCTGATGATGGACGTCTCATGATATTTTTTTTAGCACAACTGGGCTGTATTAGGCTATTGATTCCCGTGATCTTACTTATAAATTCCGCTTCGTGATCACGCAAAGAGGTCTGCAGTCCGTTCAGAACTCCAACCAACATAAAATATAAATAATTACGCTGTGCATGTACAAATGAATGTTTTAGGAGGGAAATAGACTGCTCCCATAACGTAGAAAGCAACGACTATATACAGCAATGTTCGGTAAATATTCAACCGAAAAATATTCTTCATAAAATTAAACCGGAGAGATAGTTAATGAGTGAATTAACTATGTTCCTAAAAACATATAAGCACATATATGCATAACCCTAACCCATTTAAATAAATTAATTGTGTGTGTGTATGTATATATAATATTATATATAGGCTATATATATACATACATACATATAAAATATTATTAAAAATATTATATACATCAGTTACCGTAAGTTAGTGAAGTGTTGGTCACGTAAGCTATAGCTGCAATTAACCTATTATCTTCCAATAAACATTTACTAAAACTGCCTACATAAAATATAACTACAGACTAGATTCACGAGAGGTCGGCTAATGTGTGTAAAAGTAAAAAAATACAGTAATTTCATTAATTTACCAGCGAGCGTACTTCGGAAGCACTGAAAATGAATGGGGTTCAATGGAGAAACTATCAGTGTTTGGAACATAGACAGTATAAGAAGTGGACAGAGCCATCTCATTGGAACTCAGTTGAGACCTGCAGTTGAAGCAATTTTTGAGCACTTCCGTTCCTGACGCGCAGACTCAAACCGACTCAAACTAAGCTTGATGACGTGAGCAACCTGTCTGACAGACGTTAATCTTCTAGTAGCTGTGCGTGAAAATTGCCAACGTTAATCTTGCAGAGACGGGGAACTTGGGCAAAGAGTTCTTTGGCGTGAGTGAGCAGGAGTAAGTATTCCGTTGCTTTTATGGACTCATTATCTATGGGCTTCTCCCTTGACGGGACGTCCCCCCGATTGCCTGCGAGCTTCTCCTCCTGTCTGTACGGTAATTTCTGTACAGCGCGACAGAGAGTCGAGTGGTTATGACCCAAACGTTAGCCTATTTTTACAATATCTGTTTCTACGGGGCCATAATGTAACATAGAAGGTAATGGAGCTCTGTATACATTGTCGTGTTTCTTTAGAAATAAATAATGGACAAATGGAGTCTTTAAACGCCTCAGATGTAAAGTTATTCGCTGTCAAAGTGATGCCAAAATGAATGGGAGTCAATGGAAATGCTAGCGCAAGTGAAGTTCTGCTACAAGATGGCGGCACCCGGCCGGCTTCAACTTCCGGTCGATGGATTACCCCGTTGGTTTGGAACTATTGGCTGCTCCACGATACGCGTTACTTCCGCATTCCAAAGTTCCTATGGCGGTCTATGGGAGTGTCGCAACTCTTTCTCTCTATGGCTCTAGGTTGAACCAAAGCCCGTCTACGGAAAGCCTGGCCACTCCCTATTAAGTCCTATTGTACCGAATTTTGGTTGTAGTTCCACCAGAGTTCCACTGGGGGCGATCGTCCGAGTGCAAAATGAATGGGAGTCAATGGGGCTAGACGGCTAAATTTGTCTCTTTTACCCGATTGTCATTGAGAAATCTCAGATTTGAATGTAGGTTCTGCAAGTTCAACATGGGTTATAGGTCGAAAGTTGAATGAACGAGTGCTTATGTCCTTTCGATTTCTTACAGGTTGAGTTGTTGTTGCCCATAACACGCTAGCATTTTGCTAATGGACGCTGATTGGTCAGTGAAGGACTGATTACGACCAGAGACACCGCTTGATGGCATCGTGGCATCCGAAGCGGGACCAATGTTAAAGGATTAGTTCACTTTTAGTGCAAACTGCAAACTGTTCAAATGGCTTGAAAGAATTGACTCGGAAAAAGATTCGTTCATTTTGATGAACGAGTTCGAACAGGAGAGTCACACAGAACAGAGCAAAGCGAGCATTTGAGCTTATAAAACTTAAACTTTGTTATTTCTTTTTTAAATGAGTGATCGTTTCGCTTGATAAGACCCTTATTCATCGTCTGGTGTCGTTTAAAGCCATTTGAACAGTTTGCAGTTTGCACTGAAACTGTCTTTTGGACCTTGAACCGTTTGCTGCCCAGCAAAGTGCATTATATGGAGAAAAATCCTGGAATGTTTTCATCAAAAACCTTAATTTCTTTTCGACTGAAGAAATAAAGACATGGACATCTTGGATGACATGGGGGTGAGTAACTTATCAG